TTCCCCTATTTTTTTCACTTCACTACCACTACTAGTTTTTAACTCTAATTAATCAATCTTGTCTCTTGGTATTGATATAATTAACATCATTCCGTTGGATTTATGTCAAATTTTGTTTTCCATAATTGCTAGTTTTTGAGATAAACTAAATAAAACCTAATTAAGCCACTTTTGTAGCACTCTCGATTGCATTTAGCATATGTAACAAGTCTTTAAATTTCTGGGTTGGAAACTCTTAGATTGTGAGGGTTTCCAGTGATGATACCAATAAAAATAAAAAATAAAAAACAAGTTTCTCAAGACTACACAGTATACAAAGAGACTAAATATATTACATATGGAACTTATGGATTACCAAAATATCATCATTTTAAGAAAGAGTGTACCTTCACGGAGATTTTTGAATTATTAGTTAATTTGAAATTTCAAACCCATATTCAAAGACAAAAGTAAATTCAATTGAAGTCTAGCCCACTCATCAACTTTTAGTAAAATATCCACAAATGTCTAACCTTTTGTCATCCTAGTCAAAAACTCAAGATGAAACATCTAGTATCCCAAGAATTGTTCATTTTCAAAAATATGAACAAACCAAAGTTTATACATGTGAAATTTAGGTCTTTTTCAAAGTGTTTAAAAGAATTATTATTATTATTATTATTATTATTTTTGTTGGTAGGTAGGTGGCTTTCAATAAGATCATTTCTTCATCATTTTTTATTTATTTATTTCATTTTGAAAAATTAAGAGGAGGGGACTCGAACACGGACATATATACTCGAAGAGCTAAGTACTCTACCAACTAGGTTGCACTCTATCATTTCACATTTGACTTGTTTGTTTTGAGTAGGGGCGGAACTCTCTATGGGCTAACCAAGGCTATAGCCCAGGACCTCAAAAAAATATATATATAATACTACTATTTCCCATCAGCCCAATCCATAATTGAGGATACCGAAAAGTGACCTGGGCATGACTCGATCCAGGTTGTTAAGAACGGATCAGGCAAGAGCAACTGCTCTGAACCAAGTCTACGCTAGTCAGGCCCAAGACTGGGAAATCACGTTGGAAGCCCGATTTCAGATAAAAAGAATTGAGCCCATAACCAAGAAGAGGCCATAAGAGCAGCCCAGTGTAAAGAGTTAGTTAGGAAGCTTCTAGAAGATCTATAACAGTCTATAAATAAACTGAAAATAGAGGGAAAAAGGGTTGGAAAATATTTGAAGTGTAGAATTATTCTTTCTAATTTGAGAGTATTTTTCTTGCATCTTCAATGGCGCCGTTTGTGGGAATCGATCAAGATTGATTCGCATTCGATCAAGATTGATTCAATTAAGACTGATTCGTGAAAAAGAAGCTTGATCTCTAGGAGCTGAATTCAGGTCGGCGAGATTATGCTCTGTCTTGCAGAGACCTGGTTCTAGTTGATTTTTGGAAATTGGAATCAGATTTGAGAAATCTCGATCTGTTTATCAAGATCAGATCTGATGAGTTCACGGCAAAAATAGAATCAACAGATTGTAGATCAGATCCGATGGAAAGAGGTTAGAATTCAGCTAGTTTGAGTCCACATCTAGTGTGTTCGCATTAACAGCGATTAGATCCGATCAGGAATTCACGGTTGATGACTCTGCTCTGATCAGGAACGATGATCGGAGGTGAGAGTTCTAATCCACTGGAGAATGGCCAGTAGGCGAAGCTTGATGAGTTGATGAATATGATCGAGGCTCTGAGAAGAGAGAATGCAGAATTGCTAGCTGGAGTGGAGCATCGGGAAGCTTCGGTGATTCCACGACCACCTCCTCTGGTAGGGGAAAGAGTTATGCAACTCGATATTGCTCACTAAGGTGAGCAGGAAGGTAATGATCGCGTGGATCCTTATTGTGAGGAGATCAGACCAGGCGATTTACCACCAAATGCTCGTCATATAGAGGATCGAGAAGGATCTATCCACCTGGATCCGCATCGTGAACGAATAAGGCGAGAGGAAGCCATGTGATCGGTTGGTCAATTATACATCAACCTTCGCAATAGCACAAATCATTGTAAAATAGGGCTATTGGTCGGGTAAGTCGAACCACTGGGACTGCCCTAGTCTAAAGCAACCTAAATGTCTAGAATCATTCTTAGAATGATAAGGGGTAATAAGGGTTTGTTTGTTTGTCACTAAACTAGAAATGTAAAGATGCATAAACTAGTAGATTGCAAGGAATGTAAAGAAGTGAGATACAAGTAGAAAAGACTAGGGAGATGAATCCATTACCTACTCTATTAACATGCTAGTATGTGGTTAACTTGGGAAACAAATTAGATATATGGCAATGATATGTAGCAATACAAAATTACTACACTATCTCCAAGAATTTCATAGAATCAAGATTTAAGCATAATCCCTCAAAGTTATACATGCTTGACTACCTAAATGAAATTGTAGCTTCACATATTCACTAAGCTAGGGACTATCAAACCCCTCAATAACTATGGTGATAGCACATGGAGCTAAGAATCAAGAATAAATCCATCAAAGGGGGACCCTAAGCTATGGACTAACAAGATTCTCAAATATATGCCAATAAAAACACTTTCACAATCTTGTTTCCATTGTCACTATGGAAATGAAAGCAAAACAACCATGAGAACATACAGTCTAAGAGAAGATAATATATTCAACGTGATCATTTATAAGAGTTTATGTTCATTACATCAAATACAAGCTCTAGACCATGAAAGTGCCATATATATACATATTTCCCAAGATTAAACCAAAACTAAGACATGCTTACAAAGTAGGGCTTCATCACCTCCCTAGATAGGGAGTTAGTTACCTATTGCCAAGCTAGAAGAAGGAAGAAACTCTATCTTCATGGCCATTTTCGTGCAACCTTCTTGGAGCTTGAAGAACCCCTTCTTTTCTTGCTCTCTTCCCTTCCCTCTATCTTGCAAAATGTGTCTCTTTGATATGTGTGGCCTTCCTTGCCTTATCTCCTTCAACAAAGCTCTCTCTCTCCTCCAAAAACATCCCCAACCACCTCATAAAGAAGTAAGTAGAAAATGAGGAAACCAATGCACAAGTGGCTGCCAAAATGAGAATTCCCGAAGGCAATTCTGCCCCAAATTCGAGCACTCTAAGCAAGGCCTCGAGCACTCAAAAATGGAGCAGATTGCTCCATGCTTGCTTTGATTCGCCCGGACCTACTTTGGTAAAACAGCCATAACTTTGCGCTCTAAACTCCAAATGACAAACCGTTTGAAGATTTGGAAAGCTGATTTAAAGCTCTAAAAACTTTATGTTTTGGTGGAGATCCAATTCTCAAGTCTGGTTAGTCGAAATTGAAGAGCAAGGCAGAAATTCATTGCTGCCAGGCAGTTCTGAGCACCTCTAATAAGAAGATCATAACTCTCTGCTCCGAACTCTGAATGATGAACCGCTTGAAGATTTGGAAAGCTGATTCAGAGCTCTAAATCTTTTATGTTATGAGGGAAGTCCAGTTCTTGAGTTTGCTAGGTCAAAAATGGCAACAAAAGTAAGGTTCCACTGCTGCCAAGCTTCAGCATTGTGCCTCTCTTGTCCAAAATTTCAACAAAACATCATTCTTGCTTCTTTTAAGCCAATGAACCTGAAAATAAACAAAAATGCACAAATAAAGATAATCTACATAGCAAAATCAAATAATGGACTTAACTAATGCAATTTAGGGTGCTTGAATATATAATATTCGGCGCTTATCACCATGGCATTCGATCCATATAAAGAAAGGATAAGGCGAGAAGAAGCCATGGAGTATGGTCGCAACAAGGCTACACCGTCATGGCAAAGGGAGTTAACAGAGGAACGGTCTTACAATCCTCCTTATCGACCATCAATGGCCACGTACAAAGATAGAGATTTGGACAAAGGGTCTATTGAATAGAGGACATTTTCAAAGTATCCAAGGGAGAATGAAGCCCTCCGTTCATCAGCAAAGACGGTTGCTTCACCATTTACTGACGTGATCCTGAACGCTCCAAATTCGAGGAAGTTTTCTATGCCAGTTTTCATTTTGTTTGATGGAACGAGTGACCCGATCGATCACATTTACCACATTTAGTTGAAAATGGCTCTGAACACAGAGAATGATCCTTTGATGTGCAAGTGCTTTCCTATAAGTTTGACCGAGCCAGCGCTCAATTGGTTCAAGAATTTGGCCAAAGGCTCAATCGCTAGCTTCCAAGACCTGTGTGACAAGTTCATAAGCCAGGATTATGGGAACAAGCACCCGGCCAAAGATGTCTCAAGCCTATTTACAATGAAACAGCACGAAGATGAGTGACTCCAAGCTGTCAAGAGCATGGTAATGGAATGTCATCCATCCACGGCAGTTTAAGCATTCAAGCTAGCAATGAACCGAGGGACACCGTTCCATACAAGTCTGGTGGTAAATACGCCGAAGACTATGAATGAGCTGAATGAGAGAGCTGACAGTTTCGTGCGTTTGGAAGAAGAAGAAGCAGCTATTGCAAGGAAAACGTCGATTATCTCAACAGAGGAGGAGTCCAAAACCAAGATTCGGTAAAAATAAGCTCCGCTACAGCGTCAGACCTCCTGGAATGCAAAAAAGAGGCCTAGAGAAGAAGAGTTGATCACTCCACTTAAAGTCATTCTCGCCAGGTTATATCAGGAGAACAAAGATAAGTTTCACTTTCCCCTACCAATTAAACAACCTCTCGAACAAAGAGATCAATCTGAGCATTGTGCATTTTATAGTGATTTTGGTCATTAGACTAACGAATGCAGGAATTTAAGGAGGCAAGTGGAGATGCTGATAGCAAGGGGAGAATTTGCAGGATATATTTAAGGGCCGGTGGTAGAGTATAACCGACCGACAGAACAAGTGAAGAAGAATCAAAAACTGAGTTACCATAATACACTGCCTGTTCAGATAATAATTGCAATTCATGGCTGACCTGAGCCGACCGAAGAATTAGAAGAACTACTCTGAACGCACCTCTGCCAAGCGCAGATGAAAAGAAGGATAGGTAGTGTAAATGCTCTGCACCAGCAGAGTGCATCGATTCAGATAAAATTTGCCAGAATAGATCTGCTACGTGTACAGGTCCCATATAAAGATCCTTTGGTAGTCAGTTTGACAGTGGCAGAATGTTTGGTGCGAAGAGTTCTGATTGATCCAGGGAGCAGTGCAAATGTTATGCCGAGAATAACGTTTAACCAGCTCGAGATCAAGACAGAAAAGCTCAAACCCACCAGAAATCCATTACTGCGGTTCAATAAGAAATGGGTAGAGCCTATTGGTATGGTGGAATTGCCATTACAAGCTGCTGAAAGAGTTCTGATAGAGAGCTTTGTGGTTGTTAAGATCCATCCGTCTTACAATCTCTTGATGGGAAGATGATGGATTCACGGGGTCCAAGGTGTCCCATCAACTCTGCACCAGGTGATGAAATGTTTAAGCCCGGATGGGAGCAGAGTGATTGACATCCATGGGCATTAGGTTGCAGCCAAGGAATATTATTCCGTGTCATTGAAAGCTACAAGTAAAGGCAAAGCTCTAATGCAATCTGACAATCCAAGATAGCAATTACAGGTACCTCCTCCCAAAGCGATCGGGGGGGGGGGGGGGATAAACCTTTGGTTCTTACCAAAGAGCCCCTCATTGATGTACAGATAGATCCTTATAAGCTAGACAAAACAATAAGGGTAGGGTTAGGGCTTGCAGAGGGGGAGAAACAACAGTTAATTGATTTCCTGTCTCAGAACGCAGATGTGTTTGCTTGGAGCCATTCAGACATGCCAGGAATCAGTCCCTCCGTGTCTTGTCATTCCCTCAATGTAGATTCAAATGCCAAGCCTGTAAGACAGAAGCAAAGGAGGTTTGCCCTAGAGCGCAATCAAATCATTACTGATGAGGTTGATTAATTGCTAGACGCAGGATTCATCAGAGAAGTTCAGTACCCAGTTTGCCTCTTAAATGTAGTTGTTGGGCAGAAGAAGAATGGGAAATGGAGAGTATGTATTGACTTCACAAATCTGAACAAAGCATGCTCAAAGGATAGCTTCCCATTGCCAAAGATTGATCAAATGGTAGATGCTACTACTGGGTACGAACAGTTAACCTTCCTAGATGCTTACTCAGGCTACAATCAAATCCCTATGGACCCGAATGTTGAAGAGAAAACTTCTTTTGTCTCCGAACGAGGAATCTATTGTTACAAAGTCATATCGTTCAGACTAAAGAATGCTGGAGCTACTTATCAAAGGTTGGTCAGCAAGATTTTTAAAAATCAGATGGGGAAGACTGTAGAGGCCTATATTAATGACATGGTGGTAAAGAGTAAGAAGAAGGACGATAACCTGGAACACTTGCAAGATGTATTCGGGGTGTTGAGAAGGTATGGAATGAAGCTTAATCTAACCAAATGCTCATTCGGCGTGGGTTTTGGGCAGTTCTTGGGACATGTGGTCAATAACAAAGGGATTGAAGTTAGCCCAGCCCAGGCAGACGCTTTGATAAAAAAAGCAGAACCAAGAACGGTTAAAGAAGTGCAAGCACTTACAGGCCGAATAGCCGCATTGAGTCGATTCATTTCTAATCCGTCAGATTGCTGTAAACCGTTCTTCGATACAACAAGACGTCATGGGAAGCAGGCCTGGGGGGATGAGCAACAGCAGGTATTGACCAGCTTGAAAGAATATATACAGAACCCTCCACTCTTATCTGCCCCCGAGCTAGGTGAAAAGCTCTTTATGTACCTTGGTGTGTCTAGTATTACAACAAGTGCCGTTCTGGTGCGCTGTGAAGAAGGTAAGCAGTTCACGGTGTTCTATGTTAGCAAAACATTGGCCGAGCCAGAAAGAAGATATTCAAAGGCCGAACAAGTGATCCTATCATTGGTAAATGTAAAAAGAAAACTCAGGCATTACTTTGAATCCTATCCTATCGTCGTTCTGACCACCCTTCCTATATGGATGATCCTGCATAAGACAGATATGTCAGGAAGAATGACAAAGTGGGCCATAGAGTTGAGCTCATTTGACATAACATACGAACCAAAACGGCTATAAAAGGACTAGCGGTAGCTGATTTCCTGCTGGAATGCGATGCAGAAAACCTAGAGAAAGATTTTGGAGGTTCTTCATGGAAGCTCTTTGTAGATGGTTCTTCAAATTAAATGGGGGCAGGAATTGGGATCAAACTGCAAATGCCAGAGGGCACCACGCTGAGCCAAGTAGTCAGACTTAAGTTCAGTGTAACTAATAATGAGGCTGAATATGAAGCATTACTGGCCAGACTAAAGATGGCTAGAGAATTGAAGGTCAAAAGTCTAGTTACTTTTAGTGATTCACAGCTGATCATTCGACAGGTGACTGGGGAATATGGAACCAAAGATGAGATAATGGAGGCATACCACTTTGCCGTTCTGCGCGAGGTAAAAGACTTTGATCAGATCAAATTCGTCCAATTGCCGAGGGAATACAATGAAGATGCCGATCGATTGGCTTGTAGTGCATCAAGTTCTGGAGAAACACTGGTTAGGGTTATACTAGTTGATGTGCTATCTCAGCCATCCATCTTTGGGGAATCGTCCAGATTGGACCCTTGGCAAATTAATGTCATACTATATGAGCCGACCTGGATTGACCCAATCATGAATTTCATACGGGATGGTGTGTTGCCCGAGCGAAAAGATGAGGCAAGGAAAATCAGGTCAAATGTTGCAAAGTATGCTATTGTGCACAATCAGTTGTACAGATGGTCTTTTTCGGGTTCGTACTCGAAATATGTTACCCCGATAGAAACTAGACAGATCTTGCAAACCATCCATGAGGGTGTGTGTGGCAATCATTCAGGAGGAAGATCTCTAGCGCATAAAGCGATGACATAAGGATATTTTTGGTCGAACATGTCGCGAGATGCAAAAGAATTCTCTAGAAGATGCGATAAGTGCCAAAGGTTCGGACCATTGATCCACTAACCACCTAAAGACTTGCACGTAATGGCCAAACCATGGCCTTTCGCGCAATAGGGGATGGATATGATTGGCCTTCTGCAGACCTCGAGGTTACAGAACAAATACGTTCTGTTAGCGACATATTACTTTACCAAATGGGTGGAGGCAGAGCCATATCTTAGTGTGACCAAAACTAAAGTAAAACGTTTCATCTAGAGTAATATTATTTGTCATTTTGGCGTACCAAGATCGATCATTATAGACAATGGGACTAATCTCGACAATAAGCAAATGAGGGAGTTGTTAGAAGAGTATGGAATCAATCAAAAGTTGGTAGCGGTCAACCATCCGTAGGCAAATGGTTAAGCTGAGATCACGAATAGAACAATCTTTGCTTGTATAAAAAAGAAGCTTGAAGACGAAAAAGGGAAATGGTTGGACAAGCTTTTGAACGTCTTGTGGGCTTATAGAACAACCCAGAGAAGGCCGACCGGGGAAAGCCAATTCGCTATGGCGTACGGCACTGAGCTAGTAATACCGGTCGAGCACTTGGTTCCAATTGTTCGAAGTTTAACGTGGAATCAAGAGCAGAACGATAGCATGCTGAAGTTTAACCTTTATCTGCTGGAAGAGAAAAGAGATGCAGCGGCAATAAGGCTCTCATCTTATTAGTAAACACTCGTGAATAGCCAAAACAAAAGGGTGAAGCATAGAGACTTTGCACATGGTGAACTGATTCTGAAAAAGAAAGTAGGGATTATCAAAAAGATGATGTCACCATGGGAAGGCCCATACAGAGTGGCATAAACTATAGGAAAAGGGGCATACGTGTTAGAGAATATGGCTAGAAGATTAGTCAACAAACCGTGGAATACCACGTCTTTGAAAAGGTACTACCAGTAAAAGAGTGAATTACATTTTAAGCAATATACATTCAAAGTTACGCTCTTACAAAATGTATAGACTTTGCAAGGAAATATAAAAGGAATTTAGTTGGTTTCAAAAATTGAATTGAGCAAAGAACATTTTTCTTTTAAATAAAAAAAAAAATAAAAAAATAAAAAGTGGCAAGTGGCATTTTAGCTGAGCACTAAGCACTTAGCCAAGTAAGTGGCAAATGGCACTAAGAGCTGAACGCCAAACACTTGCACAGAAATAAAAAGTGGCAAGTTGCATTTTAGCCGAGCGCCAAACACTTGGCCAAGTAAGTGGCAAATGGCACTAAGAGCCGAATGCCAAACACTTGCGCTGAAATAAAAAGTGGCAAATGGCACTAAGAGCTGAATGCCAAACACTTGCGCAGAAATAAAAAGTAGCAAGTGGCATTCTAACCGAACACCAAGCACTTAGCCAAGTAAGTGGCAAATGACACTAAGAGCCGAACACCAAATACTTACGCAGAAATAAAAAGTGGCAAGTGGCATTTTAGCCAAGCGCCAAGCACTTAGCCAAGTAAGTGGCAAATGGCACTAAGAGCTGAATGCCAAACACTTGCGCAGAAATAAAAAGTAGCAAGTGGCATTTTAGCCGAGCGCTAAGCACTTAGCCAAGTAAGTGGCAAATAGCATTAAGAGCCAAACGCTAAACACTTGCGCAGAAATAAAAAGTGGCAAGTGTCATTCTAGCCGAGCGCCAAATATTTAGCCAAGTAAGTGGCAAATGGCACTAAGAGCCGAACGCCAAACACTTGCGCAGAAATAAAAAGTTGCAAGTGGCATTCTAGCCGAGCACCAAGCACTTAGCCAAGTAAGTGGCAAATAGCACCACGAGCCGAACGCCAAACACTTGTGAAATGAAAACCAAGTAGAAAAATTAAACTGTCAGCTCGTTGTAAGTGGCAAATGGCACCACGAGTCGAACGCCAAACATTTGTGAAATGAAAACCAAATAGAAAAATTAAACTGTCAGTTCGTTCAAGTACAGGTTGAAGAATAGAAGCTTTGCAAAATAGAATTGTCATTTCATTCATCACAAAATAGTTCTTGAAGTACATGAGTTGACATTGAAATAAAAGGGAAAATAACTACAAAAGTCAGCAGAACGCTAGTCTGCAGTATCCTCTCCTATGCCGGATCCATTGCCTGCCCTATCATCACTAGCTAGCTCGCTATTTCCCTCTCCATCATTGGCTGCATCACCGTCTCTGAAGGGAGAATCAAGATGGATGATCTCCTCAGTCGGTAAAGCTCTGTCAGAGGCAACAGATGTGGAAGGAACGATGGTCGTACTGAGAGGAACATTCAGAGGACGAAAAGATGGGATGACCCCTGAAGCTGCAATCTCATTGCACTCAATAAAAATGTTTTCAGCAAGAGCTGGGAGTGGATCTTGGTAAGTGTTCGGTGGGTTGATATCCAGGGAGGCATCTAGCTCATCTGGACCCGCACAGGTGCTTGATTCGCCCTCAGGGGGAAAACGATCAATAAAACTGTCTCTGTACCCCTCAGGATATCTTAGAGCCCCTATCCTAGCGAAACGAGCATAGAGAGCTCGAACGCTACCATCAACTCTGCCTATGACGTTTAATAGAGCAGAGCGTTCATTTAAGAACTTCTCTTCAGAATTAGAGTGGGTTAACCGTTCAGCGATCAGAGTGCCCTGAAGGTCCCCCTTTTCTGCCCTCAGTGCATTCTTTTCTATCTGTGCGACGTTCTTCTCTGTCTTCAGGAAGTCAACCTCGTCTTAGAGAGAATCCCGCTTAGCCTTCAGAGCGTCCCTCTCAATCCTTAGAGCATTCCTATCAGCCCTCAGAGCATCCATCTCCTTCTCTGACTCATTCAACTTAACCATCAGCTTTGAGTTTTTGGCTTCGGTTGCCCTTTCTGAATCAACAGATCTTTTAAGACCAGCAGAGAGGGATTTGATCTTCTTTTTCAAAGTTTTAATACTCTTCTGGAAAGTGAACATCCCAAATAGAGTCTGTACAAAGGCAAAGGTGTTATGATAAGTACAAATGTCAAATAATCAGAACGGGAAAAACAAAAAGTAAAAAAGAGAGGAAGAATTACCTCAACAATAGATGTTGGGAAGCGTTGGTACATTTCATTGAAGGTCATTTTGTTCTGAACCTTAATGTCTTTGGGGGTCCAAAAGCCCTTGTAGAAGGCAAATGATGTGACTGGGTCTTTGAACAAAGAATTTGTGGGGGCAATGATTGACCCATCCTCACGACTAAGCAAGGGACGCAATGGGGTCACTGTTAGTAAAGAGCCAAAGGTTCTAGCTGATTCACCTTCCGGAATGGATAGCAGAGGAGAGGGGATAAAATTGGTGACCCTGAAAGAAGTCCAGGCCATTCAGGCTAGAGGGAGGTCACTTTGATTAAAACCACCCTCAGGCATGGGTCTTTTTCTCAGGCTTTTTCCTGAAGCATCAGCTCGGGCTGGAGGAGATCCTTCAGCACTTGGAGAAGAGCCCCTAACATTTTGAGCACCATGTGGGGAAGTTTCAGTGAAAGTGTCAGAGGGCTCATTATTCGGCACAATAGGCTGAACTTCAACTGAGGTTAACGCAGAGGGCCCAACGATCGAATGCTCGGTAGTTTGGACCATAACCAGGACGGGTGAGGTGGTCGCAGTGATGGCTGGTGCAGTTGAAGGAGTGGGGGCAGAACGCCTTTTTTTGCTGAAAGAAGGAATTTGGATATTCTCTATGGTGGATCCAAGGACGGATATGTCAGAAAGATTATCAGGGGTGAGCAGGTCAGTGGCTGAGGGGATGTTATTCAGAACTTTTTCCTTCAGAATGTCAAGCCTGCCCTGCAAATGCTGTAAACCAATTCGTCATGATTTATTTGAAGGCATTTGCAAAGAAAAGTACAGAAACGAGGAAGACATGATTCACAGTGGCAGTCGGTGGGATGATTCTTAAATTTCATATATTGAAGGATATAGCATTCTCAAAAAGTGGTCGGGATTAGGAAGGTCTGAGTGAGTAGAGTTCCCCAATTTTCACTGACCCCAACTAGGTTTTGCCTACAACCCTTTTCAAATGAGAGCTTGTCGGTACAGATAGATCATTTCTCGATGGGAAAGAAGTGAAAATATATTTCATTGGTTTTGAATTTGGTGACTTGATAGCAAAGGAGAAGGTTAATGATATCTAAGTCAACAATCCTATCACGATTTAAAATCAAGAGGACTGATATTACTTTAAGGAAATTAGGGTTAACCTGAAGAGGAGAAAGTCCTAATTTATTGAAGACATAACAAAAGAACGGGTGTAAAGAGAATCTAATTATGTTCAAGTGTAGAGCAGAGAAGAGAACCTCCCCTGGAAGGAGACCTTCACCAGATCTCTCATCCAGATTGGTGGGGTAAACCCTGAGGGAGACGTCGTTTGGGATGTTGTTCCTTGAACGGATAGCATCCAAATCAAGGGGAGCCATTAAAAAAGGGGAAGAAATTTTTAAGTGTAAAATTCCTTTTTTCTAAAGAGAGTAGCAAGAGAAAGGAACTAACCTTGGAAGGGGAGTTTGCAAAAGTACCCTGTAACAAAGCAAAAGTCGAATCGCAAAAGGAAAAACTTGCTGGAGAAAACCCGGGAAACCCGCCGGAGAATACAGGTAGGTGACAGAGATAATCGAAGAAGATGACGTTGGAGGATGAAGGTGAGAAAGGTGGAAGAAAGGCAAAAAGTGAGAAGTTGGGGTTTTTAAAGTGAAAGTGATTTAACATCCAAGAAGCTATGGTGATAATGGTGCAGTAAATCTCAAAGCGTGAATCTCTGAGCCGACCGTTTGCTTCCGCACGTCACCGCTTCGAGTTGTCATTTCATGATTATGTCCTTTTGATAATCTCACCCTAATTAATTAGGGAGAGATTATGGGGGCAGATGAGTATACCAAAAAGTAACCTGGCCCTAACTCGATCCAGGTTGTTAAGAACGGATCCGGCAAGAGCAACCGCTCTGAACCAAGTCTATGCTAGTAAGGC